TTTACCGGTCGATATGTCAGATATCTTAACAGGATTAAGTGAACATATATTTTTGTATATTTCAGGCTTGAGTGAAATCGGTTCAGTAATTACACCATCCTCTATGTACCACCGATTATGATTTTCTTTATTCTAGTGGACTCTATATCGCATATTTTGATCAAATTTTGAGTTATCCTCATTAGCTTAGATGGAAATATGTTATCGGGTATACTTTAATGATGCCAAAGGCATTTAGTCCAATATATTCAATATAGTGGTTTTCGATTTTTAGTTTGACCTTTAACCGTTATATTCTGATATTTTAATTTTCGATATTCAGTGGGCATATTTTTTTCACTACAATGTGGTTTAACGCTGTATTTTAAAAAAATCGGTATAGAATTTAGACCTTGGTCCAGCACCTTTTAACTTTTTCGTCATATACCTAATATATTAGATTTCGTTGCTGCTTTTAAACTTTTTACAATAAATTGCGAGAGTATAAAATATTCGCTTACACTTGAACTTAGCCATTTTTTACTTGTTTTGTGATTGAAATCTTGTGAGTGTATAAAATATCTTTCGTATAATATAATCTATCTGGCTATTGAATCGAAAATTTTGGTATCATTATTATCGACAACGTCTGGTAAGCTAAATACCTATTTATCGCTACTATGGAGCAGATTGGATTGGGCTTTATACTTTCGTAGCGCCTTCTAAATACTAGAGGGATCGAAAAATTACATATTACATGTTAGAATGATTAAGTTATTAAAAGTGCAACAAATTGGTGTAAAATGCGCTTAAATGGGTCCGAATTTTTCATTTCCATAACAAAGAGGTTAAGCGTTGGTTACTCAAAATTAACAAAAAAAACTCTCTCCAATTTCGTTTCCCACGTCAACGTATTTTCAACACTATAATCTACCACAACATCAAAATAACATTATTGCCAACACCAGCGACATCATCAACACCAATACACACACACACACATACACACATATAAATGTACATCTAAAACACACCTTCGGCCGCAGCGCTTAGCCACCAGGCCGCAATTATTGCATTTGTGGTTACTAGGACAAACAAAATTTCCACAGCTTTGGAATTTTACAAGGTGCAACAGCAACAATGGAAGCATTCTCCGTGTCTCTGTGTGTGTGAATTGTTTGTTGACGACACATTAAACAGGCTGCAATTGACGCTGCAGGCGAGTAAAAGTCGCGGCGACCATACACACGCTATGCATGTCAGCAACAGCGGTTACAACAACAACAAAAAATTACGCAGTCGGTGACGAACGGGGCCAACTTTGAGGAGTGACCGCAAATGCAAATGTCATACGAACGCGCGGTAACTGACCCTTAATGACATTACGCAAACAAACGGTAAATGCAAACGCGACGAAGGACAAAGAGAATGTGAGAGAGTTGCGATAGTGCTGTTTTTGGAGTAGAGGCGATAGTGGTGTCTCCACTCTTAGCACTGCTGTAATGACGTAAGCTTTTGTATTTTGTATTATATTAAGACTGTATTGCAAGCGGAGTTGGTAGAAACAGTTCCCTGATATATCTAAGTAATCGTATGCTTTATAGGCTCCCCTGTATATAAAACTCACTATAATCCAGCCGCTATATCAATACCATAAATATTTAACTTTCGCAAACACGCTGAGTGCGCTGGGTCCTGAGCAGAGTGTGAATTTATTATTATTGTTTTTTTTTTTTGTACGGATGTTAAATGTTACTTTGGATCTCTGAAAGATAGAATAATAATATGAATTAATGTCTCAGTAGTATATTATTCTTCTTTTTCTATGATTCCCGATGTTTTGGAATAATCAAAACTGTGCTTCAAGTTCTTTTGCTGCCAAAGCTGCAGCTTTTGACTAAAAGGTCCTGAGAAAACGTACGATTTATGTAATTAACGGGTTATATCTACTTATAAATTTCAAAAAATAAATTTTTTGGCATACAATGGTATACCCGAAGATTTGAAGTTTATTCGGCAAATAGTTTCGGTGAATTTGGAAGAATTTAAACTCGTCTTTCTCGAAACGGTGTTTCGGTGAAACGGTTACTCTGAAACGCCAAACCGATCGACTTGCATTCAGGTAATCAAGAGTATAAGATATTTGATAACAATATCGTGTTTTCAAGCCACTCTGAAGTGTAAATTTTTTCACATAAAACAACATTTTTTGAAAAGCCACCATTTTGTCAAAAATCAACATTTGAACTATTTCTTGGACAATCAGCTGTATTCAACTATAGAAATAATAATTTTTTTGATTTTTAAATTTAAGAAAATGAAGTCGAAAAATCTTGCTCCTCGCCAGATATCTTTTTTCGGAGACAGCGACCACATCTGCAAGGGATTCCAAAATTTTTCAAGATAAATCGCAGATAATTAAATGTAAATTTTTTGTTTTTATTTTATTAAACTGAAATTTGGTTCTCGCGGGTCAGACCCTTGATTATATTTGCCTAATTAATAACTTTCAGGTTATTTAATTTTTTCCATTTTACTGTCCAACAACAACAGCTACCTTAGCAAAGGCAGTGCATAGAGCAAAACCATAGCTGCGCTATACGTATTGAATGACCCAAATTAGTATATATATACAATGCGTATATAAACGCATATCTGTAGTGGTGGCAGGTGCGCGATATCAGCGCCCCCTCGCCAAATCGCGCCCATGGAAGCAATTGAATTGCGTTGCGTTGCGTTGCGTTTTGTGGTCTCCCTGGACTAAGCTTACTTTACTTTCAATTAGTACAAAACAGCCAAGAGGCAAACACAAGTGCAACCGAAAGCGATAACCGTTAATGCGGTGTGGCAGCAGGGGCGTGGAGCAAGTAGTAAAGGAGTATGGATGTCAGGTGCTTGTTGCCTTAACTTTATACCAGCGGCAAATGCAACAGCTCTGGTAGAATATTGGCTACAGCAACAACATCGAAAATTAGATTAACAGAAAAAAGTTCTGCAATCAAAAGTCTTTTACCACATAATTACAGGCGTCGAAGCGTAGAGCGCTTGCATATTAATGTGAGTTGAACACAGCGATAAGTACTTACAATAAAGTCTAGAATATTCCTATCTAACTAATATTACTAATATTCCTATCCTATTAACTAACTAACTTAACATAACGCTCTTATTAATTTATCTATACCGTAATATTTTCTTACTTTTCCCTTCCTTCCTATGCCAATTCCTCGGTATTTTGTTGTTCTACCGAAAATATTTTTCAATGTAAAACATTTTAAAATAATATTTATAATAAATGAGTACAAAATACTTTGGTATAAATTCAACCATACGAATTCTCTTATGTGAGGAGCGAGTTTACCGAATATGTAACAAAACACCTCAACAGATATTATTGCTACTCCATCTACCTTCGTTACAAATTTCAACTGCCTTGAATTCGCAAAACTTTGTTAATGGCGAATCGAACAAAGACCTGGTATACTCTTTTCAACGTAGACACCGCTTACGCGATTGTAGACGAGTTAACAAGAGTGTGTCAGTGCGTTTCTTCTCTTTGCTACTGACGCCAATTGGAGATACAAAGTGCAGCTAGGTCCTTCTCCACTTCATTCTCCAACAGAGTGGAAGTCTTCTTCTTCCTCTGCTTTCACCGGCGGGTACTGAATCGAATGCTGGCAAAGCTGCCTTCAAATTGTTGATAGTATAGTTCCGAATTAATAGTTAGGCCGTAGAGGAGTAGCTCATAGTAGTATATTCGCTGCCAATCCCACCAAACACATAGCAAAACCTTACTGACCGTCAATCCTGGCTTAGTCACCGTCTGCGCCGTCTGCGCCGGCTCACCGCGATTTGAGATTTGACTACGACCATTTTTGCTTGACGTTGTTGTTGTTGTAAGTGACCCACTTTACATCACCAGTGATAATCTGTTTCTGAAATGGTTCCATTTTGTTGCAATTCAACAGCGATTCGCAGATGGAATTTTGGAATATGAGGTTTTCGGCGTTGACTCGTGTGGCACCCATACATCGAGCTTTTCTGTTTTTGTATACTGTCTTATTTAAATGGTTCCAAATGGGCAGCACAAAACTGCTTACAGACAATCGGGCTCTACGATTTCCAATATTTTATTAATATTTTCAACAAACAAAAAAACTCTATAAAGAGAATCGTGTATTTTTGACATCAAAATTATTGGAACGGAACCAAAATTGTGCATGATTGACTGTTAGTGTATCAGGATCATAAACACTATTCACAGATTAACAGCCTGGCTTGTGTTTTCGTCTTACTGTACTGTCGGCTGTAAAGTAGCGCGTATATGCTCAGGTGTCTTTAACCCGTGCTTAAACAATACTGATTCAAGTATTTGATTCAAGCATCAAAAACTGTCTGAGAAGTTATTATATTATATTTTATTTACATATTGTACATACATATGTGAAAATGCACACATGAAATAGTTTCAATGTTTTATTTTATGAATTTTACACAAAATTCAAAGATTTCTGCATATTATATTTATACGCTATATGTATATACATTCTTATACATGTATAGCTATATATTTACATACGTAAACAAATACAGACGCACACATCTATAGTTAATAGATCGCAATCTGTTTGTAATAAATTACTTTCGTCTGACTTTCAATGCAACAAAAAGTGGAATGCCGCCAAACGACAGGTGATGCTATTTAATACTATCAAAACAACAATTCAGTTGGGCGATAGATATGTATACGCTGTGTTATTTATCATAAATACACATATATACATATATATATATGGTAAATATGCACGCACACTTATAAAAGCAGCAAAAGAAAGTTTACAACACATATTATATAAGCCACCCATAACACACATCTTCAACTAACAAGCATGTGCGCCACAAAGTATGCTAATAATATATGCTATTTGCTCTAGCTTCTCAATTTCAACTACTAAAGTAAACAAACAGACTCCGACAGACACTTTACTCGCGTAGTTTTATCCTTTTTATTTATTTTTCAGGTGTGCGCCAGCGCCTTCCTCCGCTCCGCTCGCTACATATGCACACTAGCAATCTATTTGTGTAGGTGTGGCAGCATATGTCGCATTGCCAACAACACTAAATCAAAGCGAAAATAAATTATTGACATTAAAGCAGGCGTTGCATAAGAAAATCAGAGCATGTCAGAAGAACTGAGAAAAAAAAAAGCAACGAATTGGAATGCAGAGTGCGATATGCTTGAGGAGATAGAAAAATAATGAGCGAGAAACGACTACCAAATGCGACCGTAATCAAACATATACTACCCACATACATAGATATTTGCGTGAATGTATGCTTATGCATGTGTTTTTATGTATGCAAATGCATGTTTTTTTTTCAGCGCAGAAAAGTAGGCAATGATTTTTATTAATTGATAAGCGACGTGCATACGTGAAACACACGCATATTTGTATTAGGGTGTGTAATTTTTAGCTACAATTTTTTTCAAGTGAAACACAGAATTTAAATTTTCAAGAAAGTAAAAAAAGAAGCCGCATATAATGTGTGCTTTTAATATTAATATTTAGAGTTGTGTGTTCCTAACTTTTCATTTTACAAATAAATGACATAGGAAAAATTTTTTTTTTTTGTAGCTTTACAGTTAAGCATTGTAAAAACAAAATGAAATATAGTTTTAGCAGAAAATTTAAAGCTTTACTTACCTGAAAGCTTTTAGCTTGTGCTTTAATTGAACAAGGTAACCTAAAAATGATACATCCCAATATATACATACATATATACCATATATAGGTATATATATATATTAATAAGCTAAAACTTTACCCCCAGCAGTAAAAATTAGATTTCTGTTTGTATTTACCACTACCAGCAGGCATTCAGAACTGGTTGAATCTCGTCACATTACCATAGAGCAACATTATTCAAAACGATATCTAAATTATTTCCAAAAATTCGCCTACTTCGTACCCCTAACACTCAGAGGAAACAATCGGAAGCTTTCTGCAAACTGCGAAACCGATATTTTTAATCGATGAGGTCTAATTCGACTCCACACTAACGGAAAGACAAAATTATTTGAACGATTCTGACTCTCGAAATCTTTGTAAGATGAGATTATTTGGTGTACAATTTTGCTGATATAACATAACTAGTCAAGAATCAGTTTCAGGTAACCTAATCTAGCTACACTTTCACTACCATAAAATAAAATATACCAAGCACTAACTGGCACTATACAGGCATAACGATCATACATGTTACAGTTTTAGTGATTTTCTTCAGTTTTGAGCCTGTTAAAGAACAACCCAGTGACAAGCTGGTACTTTTATAGGATCTTCCGAAAAGCTCAAAACTGCTTTTTGACATATAAAGTGTCATAATTGAAAGACATCTGTTTTTTTGTTACTGTATTCAATGATGCTTACCACTGGGTAATTACGACTCGAATGACTGTCTGCCCTTTTTGTATATTTGCAGAGTTTGAACTTTAGATCAAGTTGTGAAAGCACATGTGCACGTAAATAACCTTTCTCGATTTCTGATATCGAATTTAGTAAGTAATTTTGCTTTTGCATATATAATATATACTTACCCTTATATGTGTATAGATTGAATACCTTTTATAAATCTTTGAATGAAATAAATAATGGCATAAAAATGTGACGATTAAATCAACTGATAACATTTATTACTAAAAAATATGTGGAATTATTTCAAAGAACTTTTAAAATTGTTTGCACTTTTAATTGCTTCATGGAGATGTAATTTCAGTAACTTTTACCATATAATATAGTGGTAGTACCGTTCTTGATATGGTAATTCGATAAATACTTAACCTGAAACTAAAATTTGATTTAACGCTATTTTTATTTTGAATATAGTCTCCTTTAAGTTCGATACACTTGGCACAGCGATCCAACTTTTTTAACCAAAAATACGTTTTCTAGAGATTAATTTCTTTAAGGCAGGGTTCGCATAGTGAAGTCCATCGACTGGTGTCTAGTGTGAATTCATGTTTCGTCAGCGGTCATGACGCAGAAAATCCTTCGGATTGCTCTACAATACCTTCAATTACCCACTGTAAAGTGTTTTCATGGTTGCACTCAATGTTCGGAATGATCAGTACCCATCGCGTCGAAAGCTTTCCCATGCATCATACAAGATAGGACCTATGCAGTTTTTTTAGGTTCCTACTATCTCAGCTTTCGCGCACAACCTCAATCGTCAGTCTGTCAACACTATATTGTGTACTTTTTTCCGGTCATCCTTCTTGGCAGCTGTTTTCAGAGCTTTAGGAGTCCGGAGTTTTGGCAGCAATCATCGAAGAAGAAGAGTCACCGTATACAGCATCTAAGTGACCTTTGATTGCACTCTTTTAAAAGCAAGAATCGAATCACCGACCGATATTGTACTTTCTCCCTTTTCAGATGGATTTCTCTAAAACTGAGAGATTTCACGTATATACAGACGGACAGACAGGCAGATAAACGGATATAGCTAAATCGACTCAGCTCGTCACGTGATCATTTATGTATACAATTTATAGGGTCGCCGATCTTTCCTTCTGTTACAAACTTCGCGACAAACTTAATATATCCAGTTAAGGGTATATCAAGTACATTTATGAGTACCTATGCTATTCTGATGCGGCTGAGAGTAACTAGAAAACTAGTCACACGTTTGTTGGCGTGAATATCAAAACTCTAGTTGCTTGTATTCCAATAAGACTATACAAACCTCAATTCGCAACAAATTGAATTTTGTAGAATATTTTTTTCTGCAGTATTTCAAAGCTTTTGATTTAATTAGTACCTTCCCCACATATACACTTGCACACACATAATAAATGTGAGCGCCTTTATGCTGTATATACTTGTATGTATGTATGTATGCTTTGTTTGCCATTTTTAACTTGAATGGCATATAGATTTGACCTTTAACGCATCAGTTGCTTTAAGGCACTCCACTGACGTGAGTCTTTATTTCACATTGCTCGGTTTCTTTATGGTACTGCTGTAGTCGCTATTGCTGCGTTTGTTGTTGTTTTATTTGTTGTATTTAGTTAAGGACCACAATATGCGTGTTTGTTTGCGTTTTACCGCTTTATGGTGCACTCACGTACAATTTAAGTGCGCTGCGGTTGCAGTCTTTTTCCGCATTTGTTTTGCTTCTATTGCTTTTTCCACTTACATTCCTTATGTTTTGCGACTAAAGGCTTTACATCAGAGAGAATGTGAGAGAGGTTATATCAGACTATACGTGATGAAAGATTTAACGAATTTAAATCTTGAAAAAAATATGTATAGCTTAAGAAGTTTATGAGATGTGTACATAAAATATTTCAGGAGCTCCTTTTTCGAAAAAATATGCCCCTCATATGCCTATATTGACTAAGCCTAGTTATAGCACTTTATAGTTTTTCACTTAACTGCATTCTGTGGGCATTGCAATGGTCCGATTTGCAATAAAACCTCCTCGGAGCGCTAATGGACAAGTGCACTAATTTACGTCAAGATTTTTCAATTTTTATTCTAGTTACCGTTTGCACCGACAGACTCACATCCGGAAAGCAACCAATCTCGTCATGCTGATCAATTTGAACACTTAGACACTTCATCACATAGAAATCAGCTGCCGAAACCATAAGAAAAATTAAGCAATATTATGTTTTGGAGCGATCAGGTTAGGATCAACTGGTCAACAATTACTAATTTAGGTCTTAGAGCATCAGCTAGTGTGAAATTAAATTTTTTTCATATTTTGATAAGTTATAGCTTTAAACATAACATACTAAAATTTTAAGTCGATTTTTCAAATAGTTTTTGAGTTACAGCCTTTTAATGTGTAGCCGCTCAGTTCAGTCAGGTCCATCAGTTTATCTTTGAACGCTTTTTTCTCGAAACAGTATTTTTCGAAGTCGCTACTGGTCAACTACCAGTTTTTGATTCTCATCGAAAAACAAAATTTGGCAGGCCAAAATCGACCAAAGTTTTATGTAAAGTTCAACTTTTTTTGTGAGACTAAAGCTTTCGAGCTTTTTTAGAGCTTTTGATCTTAACTATAATAAAATAAAAACTTACGAGCTAGATCCAATACAAAGAGAAAGAGAGACAATCCTCTCGAATGTTAACTTCAAATAATACTTCAGTATATGTGCGACTAAAGCTTTCGAGCTTTGTTTGAGCTTTTGACCTTAGCTATAATAAATTAAAAACTTACTAGCTACTAGCTCTAGATCCAATAATAAGATAGATTAGATAATTTTCTCATATAATAACTCCAAACTATTTTGATTATATGTATGTGAGACTAAAACTTCCGAGATTTTTTTGAGCTTTTGATCTTAGTTATAATAAATTAAAATATTAGGAGCTCTCGATACAATAATAAGAGAGATGAGATAATTTTCTCGAATATTAACTCCAAACTCTTTTGATTATATATATGTGAAACTAAAGCTTTCTAGCTTTTTTAGAGCTTTTGATCTTATCTATAATATAATAAAACCCTACGAGCTCTAGATCCAATACTAAGAGAAATGAAGACAATCTTCTCGAATGTTAATTTCAAATTATTTTAAGCATGTGTGAGCTTAAAGCTTTCGAGCTTTTTTTTTAGCTTTTGATCTTAGTTATAATAAACTAAAAATTTACGAGCTCTAAATCCAAAACTATTCGGTTTGTATTCACAAGCTACACTGCTCTAACTTTACAAAGAAATGTCAGCAAGTATGAGTATAATAATGACAAAAACCTTCCAAGTTGTATTTATTTTAAAAGCTGGTTTTTGTGCCTTTTTCCTGACTTTATAAAGTCATACTCGTAGTTTACTTGCATAAACGCAGCAAGACAAAAGAGAAAAGAACAAGGCATAATAAAACCGTCGGATGTGCGGAAAAGCAGTTAACTACATGATTGTTGTTGTTGCGCGTGTTTTTTTTTTCATTTTGCTATTATATTATATAATATGTGGACATAGTTGTATTATATGTATGTGTGGATGTGTGTATACTTCTTGCAATTCTTTGCGTTATTTGACTCTGCGCTGCTCGTGTTTGCGCTCTTCCACATACACTTGTATAATTTCTATGGTGTGCATTTCCGTTTCCGTACTACGCATATATAACTCTCCGTTAGCGTATAGTGCACATATTGTCTTTATATCTGTATGTATGGTATGTAAGCACATATGCGCACAATTACACTGCTTTGCACACTTCCACACTGCTGCCTGCTGAACGATGCTGTTGCACGTCTATTCTCTATTGTTTATGGTTGTTGTTAT